AAAAATAATCACGTGGCACTGTTTGAATCATCGACCGGAGCTCTCTGTTAACGATGCTGTCGCGGAAGCAAATGGTATTAACCATTTTCAAAAATTTATGGATAAATTATATACCATTTATCACCAATCTCCTAAAAATCAACGCGAACTAGATTCATGTGCGGAAAATTTGGGAGAAGAAATTACAAAAATAGGACGTGTTTTAGGAATAAGGCGCATTAGCTATCCTATCCTAACATTCAGAACAGTTAATGCAGTTTGGCAGGATTTAAAATCTCTTGCTGAACATTTTCATCAAGCCGAAACTGATGAAACTCGTTCAAAAACTGATCAGAGTGTATACATGGGTCTAAAAAAATATATCATGTCTAAACAGTTTATAATTAACTTGGCATTAATGTATGACGTTTTGTATGAACTTTCCATCTTGTCTGAAGCGTTACAGAATAAAAATGTCACGATAATATATGCTGATAAACTAATCCGTCGAACAATTCGCTATTTGGAATCACTAAAATATGTTAAAAAAGGATACAAACTCAGAAGCATCAGAGGCTGTACAAGTGATGAAATTAGGGACATTAACTTTAACAGATAATGAAAAAATTACTATTATTAATAGAAATCAAGTCCTTGTAAGTCTCATTAATAATATGAGTAGAAGACTACATTCAGAAAGTGATTTAATAAGTGAATTTCGAGTATTAGATTCAACGGAGTGGAAAGAGATATTGAAATAGGCTATTAAGAAAAGAAAATCCAGTCTTTATGCACCAGGTTTAATTTAACATCACCTATGCGATCCATCAATGCGTTTAGAGATTATATTGATACTGGAGGCAAAGCAGTTCCTGAAGATATTGAAATTTTGATTCGATATGAATATTATTTTACATGAACAGAGAAATGGAATTTTAATTGAAAATTTAGCAAATCTTTTATTTATAAAAATGAGTGGCCCACCACAACAATTATCTAATCCAGATAATTATGTAAAAACTTGGTTGAGGTCTCATCGTTCGGATGACAACCAAACAAGAAAGATTGAACTCCAAGATCCTGAACATAATCCTATTTGGAATATTTTATAAAAAACATCACACTAATGTTCAGTGCTGGATTTACAGTAGGGGCAATCGGGGCTACTGCCCAGGGCGGCAAATTTTTGGGGGCGGCAAAATTTGGATAGTGAGAAAAAAATTCTATACAATATAATCAAATTTTTTTAACAACATTTTTATATTTCAAGAAATATAATTAACAAAACATAATACGATTGCAATGCAAAATTTGGGTTGAAATAACCGATTATTAAAATTTATTATTTTGCCTTGCCTCCCTCTCCGAACGTAAATTATCAAATTGGTTCATAAGTTATTAAATTTGACAATTTGGCTAATATAAAGATCCGTAAACAAGCTGAAAGTTTAAGAAAAATATTTACTACAGTTCTCGAGCCCTCTTAAAATGACGAATTTGTGCACTTCCAAGCTTATAGCGTCGAAAAAAATTTAAACTAGTGACTCATGGCATTGTGCATTAAGACAAATTACTGAAACATCCCGTACTGAAAATTACATTTCATAAAGAGCTTTAAATTTTATTGAAAAATGAAAAAAAACTTCTAAAATACATTTTTTGTATTTTGAAATTTTTCGAAAATTATAAACTTTTTGCAAAGTTTTTGAGAAAAAAGCGTCGAATAACATTCAAAAAAATTTACAGAATAAATAACTGCTTAAATTTGTGGGGGGCAGGTTTAGCGGTTTCGATAATAAAAAAATTTGAAAAAGAAACATTTGGCGGACAAAAGTGATCATAAGACATATGCACATTAAATTATCAGATATTTTAAAGATATTAAAATAATAAGTATAAATTTTGTTTACATTTATATAAGTTTTGTAACATTGTTTATCCGTTAGACTGCGACTCGGCGCTTACGCGCTTCTATATTTTGTCCCTCGCAGCTAAAGCAGCGCGATTGCTTTAAAAAAAGTTCCAAAGTTCGTAAAATTTCAGGGATGGGGCGGCATTTTTGTCAGTGCCCCGGGGCGCCAAATTTCTAAATCCGGCCCTGCTAATGTTAAAACATTAATTCATGTTAAAACTGTTAAAAATATTTATTCAGTGTATTTTAATATACTATTTGTATTTTACAATTTGATTTAACAATTTTTAAGAAACGTTCTAATTATTGTAATAAACATATATATGCACAAAATGTTTTTTTTTTGCATAGTTTTATTGCCAATCAAAATAATATACATTAAATTGGGTTTTGTAATGATTTTTTTCTTTGAAATATGAGAACCGGTTCTTTTAATTTTAGCGTTCCGGCAAAAGAATTTTTAGCACAACACCACTGGAGATGACTGCAGCAAGGATGCTGCATGTCACAGATCCTATTCAATCTCTATGGAGAATGGCTCGTCAACGAGGCACTTGAAGGCGAAGGAGATTTTTCGATTGGAGGAAGAAGAATCGCCACCGTGAAGCACGCTGATAATCTAGTGGTGATATCGAAAAACCAAACTGAGTTGCAAAACATAATGAGCAGAATCAGAACTTCGACGATTCTGCTCATTTTGTTTTGCAACTCAGTTTGGTTTTTCGATATCACCACTAGATTATCAGCGTGCTTCACGGTGGCGATTCTTCTTCCTCCAATCGAAAAATCTCCTTTGCAAATGTCTCTGATCCGTACAGAGCTATGCTCCAGACATAACACTTTATCAATCTCTTTCGCAAGTCGAGACTTAGTTTCGTCCACGAAGAAGAGAACGCTACTGACAAGCAAACTAAGTCTCGACTTGCGAAAGAGATTGATAAAGTGTTATGTCTGGAGCATAGCTCTGTACGGATCAGAGACATGGACTCTAAGAAAAGCCAACAAGAACTATCTGGAGAATTTTAAAATGTGGTGCAAGAGGCGAATCGAGAAGATAAAGTGCACTGACAAGATAACGAATGATGCAGTCCTAAGAAGAGTGGGCGAAGAAAAGACTCTACTAAGCACGATCCTGAAACTGGATCTAACCTATTTTGCAAAAAGAGTGCCTCCTGCACACACGCGGATTACCGCAGCCTTTTTGAAGTTTGTGACCTTGCTCTTTGTACGGTCAAACGAAAGAGAAAGAAGAATTCATGAAAATGTCAAAAATGTAGGTGTACCAACAACAAAGATCAACAAAAATCACGAACAGTAATATGTAGAATGATGCCTGATGCGGCTATCTAAGCTATTTTTAACCTAACATTATATTGACAAATGGTCATATAATATTTGATTTTTACTTGCATAAAATATATCATGCATATATATAATTCGTATGTATGAATATTTATAAACAGTTTAATTTTTTTCTCAAGTTTGATTGAATATTTTATTAAAATTCAACATAACATAAATTTGTATGACTTGTAAATTTGTCAGTGCATTATTGACTTTACTGATATATTATTGATATTTCATATGGGATTTAAACAAAAACAATGAAATGCATAATTGTAATGAAATTTTAAAGGTGAAATAAACAATACACAACCTAACCTATTTAAAAGAAATATTTAACCTATCTTTGACATTTAGCCTATGCACCTATATCGAAAAAACATAAGATAAAAAAACAAATAATATGATTGATAAACTCCATTCACATAAAAATCTTATAATAAAACTGGCCTAACCTCTATCTACAACACTACTCAAAGAAAAAAATAAAATTCGTACCGATCGAGAAGGCCATTAAGAACGACATGACAAATTTGATATTCCCATGCGCGAAGCACAATTATGGTCGGCAAACTTGAATTTTACACAGCCAACTTCGCAGTGTTCTTACACACCTATACATGCACAACCGTACAATGAGCTACTGTCAAAAAGACTGCGACTTGATACTCTTCTCCTGCACGACGTAGTCGAAGGCAAAATAGAAGGACTGAAAGGTTTGTGAAGAACAAAGAATGCAGATGCTTGATGAATTATGCAAGAAGGAAAAATACAGAGAACTGAAAGCCAAAGCACAGGACCAGGAAGCATGGAAGCAGAAGTTTGAGAGAAAAAATTCATAAAACGAATATAAAGTGATTAATGGTCATTAATTGATAGTAATAAAACGATTGAAATAATAAACAGAGGAGAGGAAGAAAATAATTGATCTCATGCCATGAACCTGCCTTCGGGCAGACTATTATTTATGATTATACTATATTATATTACATATATATATATATATATATATATATATATATATATATATATATATATATATGTACAGTCGAGTGCCAATTACTTGAAACTTCTCACTTCATCATCTTCTGGGATTAAAACTTTGACTTTTTAATTTTTTTTCTACATTCTTAAAACAACGATTCATCAGTTGCATAAAAATGCCTTTTTTATGACCTTTCAAATATTTCGTGCAAAAATAATGGATTTGTTTTTACTGTACCTTAAATTTCAACTGATGTAGAGATAGTCTGTTATTTGTTTCCTCCTTTCCGAATGCCAAATTTCTTATGTCTACGGCATGTATGTCAAGACAAACTACCTAAGATTATTCACTTCAGTTACAGAGCATATTTCTGTCTGGAAATTAAGCACTGTGGTTAAATATTCAACATTTAAACGACTCCACAATATCATCATCAATATTTTAAATGTTGTACGTATTTTCAATTTTATAATATTCTAAAACATGGATTCTCTACAACACAATTTGAAAATTGAGGCCCTTACAAGATCTTTTTACCTAAAGGTAAGAAATTAAAAATGAAAGATTTTTCACAAAAAATAGAGCATAGATCAGAAGGTTGTAAAGATAAATGCACACTGTATAAGAATATCTAGCCAGAAAGAAAATGCTCATATTTAACAGCACTTACGATTAGTTATGAAAAAGAAACTATTTATTTCATTTAATATGTATTTACTTTTTTTTAAAAAAAGGGTGAATATATTTATTTATTTTGAAAATATAACATGTAGTGTGATTTTTAAGAATTCTTTTTAAGAAGTCCTTTATTTCATATAGCACAGTACTTTTTTGAAACGTAAGTACCGTGGTTAACGGGGGTTGTATGATGAATATCTTATTTCTTTGAATTCCATTAATTAACAATAATCATGCTTACAAAAATTTGTATTAAAACTTTTTGTAAAGCTTTATGAAAATTTCAAATTATGCATACAAGAGTTAAAAAAAAGCCAACATTTCAGATAAATTCATTTTGCTTGCCAACATATTGGAATAAACTACAGTAATATAATAATAGATGTTTCTTTATAATCCCATACTTCCAACAAGACGATTAAACTTTTTCAAAAACACAATTAAATAAACACTAATATAAAATTGTGCTAATGTATGATATGTTTGAATATCAGAGGAACAATACTATATTTGTAAACTGCTGGCTTGTTTAGCTTGTTTTCGAAGAAATATTGAATCAATTTTGGCAAAAACATCTGATGCGGCCTGTGATGCATCAACTTTGTTATGTAATCCTTGCAATGAATAGTAACTTATCAAAGGTTTAGTTTGCGCATGATATGTAACTAATCGTTTCTTTAATGCTTCAGCATTATCATCGCTACGTCTGATCAACGGCTCTCCTGTTATCTGTAAAATGATCGATATTTATAATCCCTAAATATTACATTAAAAACACCTACAATCTACTGTTATTAAAATTACTAACATCATCAGTCATTGGTTTTTTCGGTGGATGGAATTCTTCATGATACGAACGTCCACTGGCTTGATGAATCAGCCTGCCAGTGATACGCTTCACCAGCAAAGAATCATCAATGTTAAATTCTATAACAGCATCCAATGGAGTATTTCGTTTAGCTAAGAGTCCATCAAGCTTCAAATTAAACACATGAATTATTTTATTAGGAAAATATAAGAAAAATATATTTTTCATGTCACATTAATACATATTGAATACCTAAAATTACACAAGCTCTGAAGTTTCAATATTTTACCCAAACCATAAAAAAAACTTTTTGGTTAGGGTAAACAGTTAACATTACAAAAAATAAAATGAGAAGAAGGAAAAGCTCTTTGTAATGTAGTGCATATGTACACAATTATCTTTGGCAAGTGCATAGTAAAATAATATTTATAATTTGTTTAAGTATTTTGACATATCTCACCTTTTCAGCTTGCCTAACTGTGCGTGGAAAACCATCCAACAAAAATCCATTACTACATTCAGGTTTCTCTAAATTTGTGTCGATCATATCAACTACGAGTTCATCACTCACAAGTCTTCCTTCATCCATAATCTTTTTGAGTTGAGTACCAAGTTTGGATCCTGATGAGATTTCAGCCCGCAACATATCTCCAGTAGATAAGTGACACACACAATACTTTTTCTTTAACATGGGCGCCTATTTAAATAAATAACACTTACATAAGCATAAAAAATGACTTGTTTCAAAAAGTATTGAAGTAAGTTATAGAAAGACCTGAGTTCCTTTTCCGCATCCTGGTGGTCCTAAAAGAATCGCACGAATTCCAAGCGTTTCTTCTTCAAACTTCTCTTTCAAAACTGCTGATGTTGGAGGCATTTTGATATTTTAAGCTATAATTTGACAAAATTTCAAACAATTTCTTATTATCATAAAATACTTATGATTGAATATAACACATCTATTAGTGTTTAAATTACATTACCCACATTTTTTTACCTTTATATTCCAGCAAAATTTGTAAAATTTATGACACCGTGTAACACAATAGTAGTATGTAGTATCATGTGTAACCTTCAAATTTAGACAAGAGGTCACTTCCATAGATTCCACATGACGATTCTTCAACTAGGTTACTTTAATACGATAAAGTTATATTCGGCCAATAAAATAATGACAACAAAACAATGCAATAATAATATAATATAATATATAATAAAACATATTTTATAATATAGTAATTGTAATATTATATATCATGCATTAAATTATATTTACTGCATTAAAATTTATTATTTACTTATTTTAAAAAACTGAAATTTTAAATTATATATATTATTACTATTTATAATTATTCGTAATCATTTTCATCAAAATTAATAATTTAATTTTTTTAACAATATGCAATTAATATTCAAAAAGATTAAAAATAATTGTTAGTCTTTCAACCCTAGTTGTAGTTGTAGATATACTTCTAAATATTTAATTGATATACATATTATATTTTAATAGGCATTTTTAGCATGTTGGTACAATAGGTTAATATTGAATATTAAAAAAGTTTCTTAATCAGATAAATTAAATGTTAAGAAAAAGTAAATGGTAAAAATAATTTTTAAGTTATAAAATAATTATGTGAATCAAATGCGTATGAAGAGCACAAAATAAATGCTTATAATTTATGGTTATTCATTTTTTGTATATATATATATATATATATATATATATATATACTGGAAACAGGCATAGATAAAAGAAGAGTATACAGGACCGGTCCTGGGGTCCTCAGCGCCCGCACGCCTTTTTTTCTAGCTCATTACTTTTCCCTCGTATACCAGATTGTTGTTTTAAAGTTAAATTTTTGATGTATTTTAAAAATATTGTCCAAAGATTAATAAAAGGTACAATAAAATTATTATTAAAAATTTTATAATCAAATCTCGTGTTGGCGCTCTCTAGGGCGTGCGCCCAACATTATTATATTAGGTTGTCAAATATCTCCCTTCCGCTTTTTTGCTATTGGTTTATAATACAAAAAGGCGAAAGGGAGAAATTTGACAACCTAATAACTTCAACCCTAGACAATATACTAATAATGACTTCAACTTTACATCTATATAAAAATATTGTATAGGCGTTGCATTCAAGGTAGGACCGGCCCTGTCGTATATATATATATATATTTATATACTTAGAAAAATATATATTAGAATATATACATATATATACATATATATATATATAAATATATATATATATATATATATATATATATAATATATTTTTATATAGATGTAAAGTTGAAGAACCAGTGGTCAATTTTAGTCTTTTAATGTCAACTTTTGTTTAGCTGTCAGATTTGTTAATTTTTTCATTTATCCTGAAATATAATTAAGTACAAAATGAATTGTGTATTTGTATTGTTTATTTTAGCAGGTAATTTGGCGGTGTTTAAAAAATTATACGTTTATATGTGAAATTTATGTTTGCTATCCTTTTAGTTTTGCAATTTCAATATATTGAGGGAGGATGGGGTGGTTCACGTGTAAATAACGCCAAACCTGTCACCAATGGTGGTAGAAATTTATATAATAAGTATGTTAGTGCTGGTGCTCAAGGAAATTCATTAGGCCCTAAATTTGATGGTAATGTAAAATTATACTTAGTTCGAAATAAATATTTTGTCACTAAGACTGACAATTGCAATTTTTATGTTTTCATTATAGGTAATGAGAAATTATGGTTGTTTTAACAATTTATATCATAACTTTTATTTCATTATGGATATAATTGCTATGTTCAGTTACAATTGATAATGAAAAGAGGTCATAACATTTACAAATTATGCATGATAGATTAGCGAAAAAAAAAAAATTATTATTCAGTCTTATGATACTTGCATAGCTCTGATAAAAATTAAGTTTTTTTTATTGGAAAACATTCTAAGCATGCTGACTTACGTTGTTAGCAAGTTAAATGCCGTAATAGCAATTAAATATATAATAATTCTCGATTTATTTTTTCCTTACAGGCAGAAGAGGTTTGGGATTCTCAGCTTGGGGTATAATTGGCATTATAGTTGGAGGAATATTAGCTATAATGGGCATATATTACACTTCAGTTTTCTATCCTATCTTGTGCAAAAAAGAGCGCCGCTATGATAAAATGCGTGCGATAAGTAATGTCTAATTATTGCAAATATATGCTAATTCATCTTAATATAGCATGTAAAATGGCTATGTATTCATAATAATCCCATACATATGTGTATGTACATACATATGTACACATAAACATATAATTAGTTTAATTTTAAATTTTACGACTTGCATCAAGTAAATTTTTAATCTTAAGATTTATTTTTATATAATAATGTATTACCTGTACCCGTATAAGTCATTCCAAAATTTAGAATAAACTGTTTTTAATTCCAATAAGCACGACTGAACAAATACAGAGACTGATTTTATATTTACAGAATTGTATTAGTATAATATCCTGTAAATCACTTTCATGTATGAGCAATTTTGTGTTCAAAAATAAAATTTTATACATTTTTTTTTAAATGTTATTTATATTATTCTAACTTATTTCATATACATTAAATTGACATGTTTTTCTCGTTTTGTAATGCTTTGTATATTTAGTATTTGAAACCAGAAAAAAAGCTTTAAATTAGTACATAATAATGCATAACTAAAAGATAAATTTAGAAAATTAATACCTCAACTGAAGCTTTTGTTAGAATGATTTTACATCACATACAAATTTAATTTTATATACTTATATTACAAATAAGTCTTTTCGCTCACAACTCATCTTTTTCATCTAAATCTATATCAGAAAGATCAATATCATCTTCAACAGGTAACACTCCATCCTTTCCATCCCAAGGCTCTACAGAATTAATTATAGACCCTTCTATATTTTTAATTGACGCTGAATGACCACGACCATAAGATATATCCCTAAGATAAAAGAATAACATTTTTAACCAAATTGCATGTTATCGCTAATAAAGCAAATGAATTGTTTAATAAAATTAAATCAATCTTCAAACATAAACTACATTTTTATTTAGTGATTTAATTAAAAATTATTCATTTGAACTCAACTAATTTAATTAAAAAGATAATTTCAAAATTGATTGACAAAATAGAATTTATATTAGGATTCAAAATACTTACTTCAAAAAGTCATTTATTCCATCTTCTGAGAATGCTCCTCTTAGCAAAGAGTATTTCTTCTTTTTAATGTTCACTACAGCCATAGCAGGATATCCAAAACCTCCGATTTCTAAAACATTCTCAACTTCAGATTGTGCACCGGCTTCTGTCCAAAGCCATCCCCACATTTTTTGCTTATATTTTTCACCCATAATTTTTAGTATTCTAATATATTTATTGCGGCATTCTGCATTACAGTCTAAAATGTGAGGTAGGACTGAAACTATGCATAAAGGTGCCTTCAGGCAAGTTTTGGAAGCTACTTCTTCATTAATTAATTCAACAATTTCTGGAGGAGGAATATTTTCTGCTAATTTATCAAGTGCCCAGGTAACAATGTCATTAGAAGTTCTACCACCATCATAATCTAAGACAGAGTCAGAATGCTTTTTGCCTGGTGCAAAGAATTTAATTGTTGGATATCCTTGTACTCCATATTGACTAGCTTTACTCGAGTGTATAGTTGCATCTAGTGCTCCAAGTTTTACCTATTAAAATACAACATCACAGGTACTTATAAAATACAAAAACAGTTATCATATTGAAAATGCCTTAAACTTAATATTTCACAACATGAATTGTAACAAATAGAATGTTTACCTTGCCTTTTAACTCTGTGGCTGCTTTGGCCCAATGCGGTGCTAAATTTTTACAATGACCACACCAAGGCGCGTAAAATTCAACTAACCACATGTCATCTGATTTCGTAACCAGCTTATCAAAGTTTGAATCAGTCAACTCAATTACATCCTTTGAATCATCCTAAATAAATTAAATATACTTGTTAGTTATTTTAAACCATATATTTTCTACTAAAAGAAATTAACAAAACATATTTAGTTTAGTTAGATAAAAATCATAAATGTATGTATAATTGAGTTTACAAAACACATAACATGTAAAAATATAATTGAACTTGTTAAAATCTTGTTTGTTCTTTAGAGTTATAAAATCCATCATGAGTAGTGTCATTAAAAGGAGTCAGACAAAATATTTCGGAGCGATTCTGAGCGGAGTTGTATCGAAGGTTTTCCGACTTCCCTAAACTTAATCCCATATCTATTAACACGTACCGATATTTGCTTCTTTTTTTTTACCCAATACAAAAATTTGCATCGAAAGAAGCGGTCGCTTTCCTGTCTCACAGGCAATTTCTAATTATAAAATGACTCAAAATATACTATAATACCATTTTGTATTTTCCATAAAATAAAAAAAATATAGCAAAAAATACAGAACAACAAAATTTTATTGAAATGTGAACGGCCTAAATTCAATAGTAATGGGTCATATTTCATCTATTTTTTTTCTTCAAAAGTAATAGTAAAAAATTGATTTTGGGTATCAAGTTTTCCGTTTTTACTTTGGTCAACACTGCAAAAAATATGAATCATTGATTCAATCGCCAAAATACATATTGAAATGCATAAGACAGTAATTTTCTTATAATAATATGAACAAAAATGTTTAAAATATCAATAAACAATTATCAAATTCTTAATAAATCCGTAGATATATGAACAAAATATTATAGAACACATTTGTATCGAGTAGGTTTCGAGTCATCCTCCCTAAAGCGGAGCGAACTATATATATATATATATATATATATATATATATATATATATACAAAACTTTGATTGAATTGCGCTCTATCTAAACTTTAATATTAAGAGCTAAAACTTTCAGAAAATTGTTTTTTATCAATTTAGAACCATTTGAGCCCTTGGGAGCAAGGAAATTCAAAAATGACCATATTAAGGACCACCTTAATATATATATATATATATATATATATATATATATATATGAGTAAGTTCTTCAAGGGCATACATCAAATAAAAGGCAAAGATTTAGAAGTTAATCTTTAATTTTTCCAAACGTTTCGACATAGTATTTTATGTCATCATCAGTGGATATAAATATGGTCTTACATCAGTAGCTAGCGCAAGGCACATAATTTTGCACTATTATATATACACTAACTTGTTTTTTTATTATTATTTTGTTGAACAGAGCATAGTAAAATATTTGTGAAATATATAATATATTTTGCACAGAGAACGTAGTTTATTTGACCGAGCCCGAGGCTGTAGTACTACTGAATAAAAACTGAATTATTTTTGATATACAAAAAATTTTTTTTTTTAAAAAAAAAATTGAAAAAAAAAATTGAAACAAAAATTGTTTTTTTCCAAAATCAATTATTTTGTTAAAACAAGCAGAAAGTTCTTTGAATCATTCAAATCGGACGCTTAGTTCTCTCAAAAACTGCCATTTTTTGCACATTTAGTTCCGTATCTTCGAAATGGCTGGGCCTGCCTTTGCCAAAACACTTCTCCTAATCATTACTAATTGAATGTTTTTAGAACATTCAAATCGGATGCTCCGTTCTTTCAAAAACTCGATTTCTATTTTCTGCACTCTTTGCTCTTTATCTCCGTAACTGCTGGACCTGCCTTTGCCAAAAACTAATCAGCTCATCTCCCTATCAATAGGAATCGAATGCGTTTTGAACCATTCAAATCGGTTGATCCGTGCGCCCGAAAACGTGACTGAAAATTTGTATCCTTACATACATACACACACACACACACGCACACACACATCCTTTTTTTTCTGAGGTATGCCAAAATGTTCAGAAACCTTCAAAACGTCGAAAAATGTAAAAATTTTCAATTACGATTTTCGGCCCATTAAAATAACTTACCCTACGGGAAGTTAATTAAAATAATCCAAGATCAAGTACTAGTGTTATGTTTAATAATGAAAGACTAGAATTTGTTTGCTTTCTGATTTGGTCAATAGAATAAATTGCATAAAATCCCTAAAATAAATAAGTAAAATACCAAATATTAATATTACACATGCGTTAGATAAATGAAATTTTAAAAATATTCTTGCAAGCACTAATGAACATACTGAAATTTTTGGATGTTCTAAAAAGTTTGGAATGAAAATAAGAATTTAAAAATAGTTTGGTAGTGCGACAATGATTGAAGACAATCTGATTATGAGCATCCGCAAATTGCCTCGATCTTATAAATAAATTTAACTAAACCCAAAAGTTTTAAAAAGAACTTTTTAAAATCAACATAAATGTTTATATATTTCTAATGATAAACTGTTAAAATAATAGGGAGGAGGGCGCTACAAAAAAATGGCTCGCGGGCGCTGAGGACCCTAAAACCGGACCTACAAAAAAAATCTCCATAGATGTATTTATTCAGTAAACACGATAGAAATTTATGATAAAGTGTTGAGTTTAACCTATATATTAAATACATTAAAGATTTTAAATATAAATTACAAGAATTATTAAAAATGATTTAATTTTGAGGACGATTGTATATATTTTTAAATTAATTCAAATAAAATATAATCAAACGTATCTTGGGTCATATGATACCACGTTTGTTTTATTTATCTAAAAGGAGAGCTGATTGTAAAGTCATTCCCTTAATATTTCAAGTCAATAATAGTACCTACAAATATCGTGTCTAAAAAATCACTCCACTACCATAAAAATTGCTATTACTCCAATGCTGAGAATTGGCCTTTGGGTGTTTAATAATTGTTTCAAAAAGAATCTATACTGAAAAATTTGAACTATAATTTCATGATCTTGTTTGTTTTGATAACATTTAAAATCCATAATACTGCATATGACAAAACAATACAAATCCTGTTTTGAATTAACAGATGATTTCTAAAACACATTTATTATCAAAAAAAAGTATTAATATTTCACTACTGAATTCACTTTCAGCGCTCCGTCTAATAAATAAATGCAAGAAAGACAAAGACGCTGTTGTATCTGCGCATCTGTTCAGAAGTTGAATGACTCGCATTCAAGAGAGTAACACGAATGATTCGATTCAATTCGAACCAAGCTAGTAACTTGTGGCTCGCATGATTTAATTTTTTTTTTAATATTTAACAAAATTATCATCTTAATTTTTATTGAAATTTTTGTTCATACATGTTGTATCACAGTAAATATTTTTCGGCTTGTTACTAGTACATTCGAATTAAGTTGTAAGCCCCTAACTTACGATTTAGATTCGAAAACGTTTGGCTAAAGATGTACAAGCCTGCGCAGAATTTGTTATTATTTTCCCACACAATGTACAGTATACCACAAAAATAAAAATTTTGTAATACTTACGATCATCGTAATACGCAATATTTGATTATCAGATGCGGGCTATGCCCGTAATATTTACATTTGGTTCTACTCGTCATTGCAGGTTAAGAGGTTACAGACATAATTCGAGTTGGCTCATCAATAACAATTGTATTATATATATATATATATATATATATATATATATATACATTTATAAAAAAGAAATAACTGACATTTAGTGCTTGTCTCTAATTATTAATTTTTACAAGTTATATTAATATTTGTTAGTGATAATCGAAGAAATTCAAAACCACTGATGATGACGTAGAATTTTACGTCGAAACGTATGGAAAAATAAAGATGTTCTAAAAAAATCTTTACTTATTTTTTACTTGATGTTACACCCTCCAAGAAATCAATCATATACTTCAACATCAAATTTAAACATTTTCAACATATATATATATATATATATATATATATATATATATATATATTTTTGTATGATTCTGAATTTGATGTTGACATATGTATTAACAAAGTCTAATAATCGGGCATAACATCAATAAAAAACATGAATTTCTTTCAAAAATTTATTTTAAATCCATACGTTTCGGCTATAATCCTAGCCTTCATTCAGTGGAAACTAAAATTAAAATTAAAAACTAAAACAATTGAATTGAAGTGAAAAGAAAAAATAAAATAGTAATTAGTACTTACAATTAGTTGATCTTAGTGTTAATTTGGAAAACTTTAGTAATCCATGGTATTAGGATATGGTAATGCACTACACTATGTATTATAAACATTAACTTGAAATTACACAATATTTTCACAAAATACTGATTTGAAAAAATCACAAATGGATAGTGTGTTATTCGTAGACTGGTTGAAGATGTAATGGAGAAAGACATTTTTTTAAAAAATATTTTTACGAAGATTCTGCACATGTGTGGAACGAATTGTAAAACCTTTGCGCGAACGCTTTTATTGTTTTGTAAGAAATTTGGAAATGTTATCTAAATAGAAGAGATTTGTGTCGCACAGCGTGTTGAGTTCATTCCGTTTATTTATTGTCTTATTGTTATAAATAGTTAAAAAAGATCCCTCTATAATTCGGAATATAACGGAATGAACTCAACACGCTGTGCGACACAAATCTCTTCTATTTAGATAACATTTCCAAATTTCTTACAAAACAATAAAAGCGTTCGCGCAAAGGTTTTACAATTCGTTCCACACATGTGCAGAATCTTCATAAAAATATTTTTTAAAAAAATGTCTTTCTCCATTACATCTTCAACCAGTCTACGAATAACACACTATCCATTTGTGATTTTTTCAAATCAGTATTTTGTGAAAATATTGTGTAATTTCAAGTTAATGTTTATAATACATAGTGTAGTGCATTACCATATCCTAATACCATGGATTACTAAAGTTTTCCAAATTAACACTAAGATCAACTAATTGTAAGTACTAATTACTATTTTATTTTTTCTTTTCACTCCAATTCAATTGTTTTAGTTTTTAATTTTAATTTTAGTTTCCACTGAATGAAGGCTAGGATTATAGCCGAAACGTATGGATTTAAAATAAATTTTTGAAAGAAATTCATGTTTTTTATTGATGTTATGCCCGATTATTAGACTTTGTTAATATATATATATATATATATATATATATATATATATATATATATACATATCTAATATATTATTCATAGGAATCTTCAATACATAAAATATATTTACCCTCGAACCAGATTTAACACCTAACTTGCTCAAAGCAAGATCCTTTGCTGCAGAAAATGCTGATTCAACAATGCCTTGAGCAGTTCTCGGCCCATTAAAATCTTGTGGTGACTTTTTGTTTGTACCAAAAATTTTGATTGTTGGAAATCCTCGCACATTATATTGTCCACCTAGAGATTTATGCTCATCAGCATTTACTGCCCCTACCTGTACCACTCCTTTAAGGGCAGTAGCTGCTTTCGAATACTCAGGTACCAGATTTTTACAATGTCCGCACCATGGTGCAAAAAATTCCACAATCCAAACTTTATCACTATTTAAAACTAATTTATCAAAGTTATCAGGTGTTAGGTCCACTACATCACTATTGGAAGGATAAAGAGCCGTGGAAGCCCCTATCATCAAGACAACATCTAGAAAATAAATTATTAGTGAGATAGTAAGTTAGAAATTAAATATCATATTTCTTAAAATCTATAAAATACATAATATAAGATATGCTACGAACACTTACATAGTAAACGAATCATGTCTACGTCGCTAAAGTTCAATCTCAATTTGTGAGAAAATCATATGAAAACATAAATTTATATCTTTTTCGACAACACTATTATGTTTCGTTTTGGATTTAGTAAGCTTAACTATATTTTCTTGACATAAAACAAAATAAATTATTCATTTGTTCGACTCGTCCCTATGAGTGATAAATTATAAACACCCTATAAATTCTCAAATTTCGTGGACTTCTGTGATTGGTGCCGGTCACAAATATCACAGATTCTACATCTTAAAAGTTGTTTATATGGTATGGGTTTGGTATTCGATGTTATTGAGAATCAGTGGTTAAATTTAGTTATGGATCAGAGAATAAAATTAATATGGCTTAAAAGTTATAGTGCTTCTGCTTGCTTTTGAGAACTTTTTTATATTTACATTTTTTAAATACTGACACAAACGTTTATACCCTGTTTATACTTTCAAAAAAAATAATTACTATGCATTCGATTTAACGTTAATTCAACCAACTTCGTATCGAACCATATAGAGTCGAAGAAAGATGAAGTTATCACTTGTCAATATGACAGCATAGCAACGTTAAAACAAAAAATTAAAACACATCAACACTGCGAGTACACAGCTTGACGTAAAAGATAATAAAGGCAGATTGTGAAATTGTAATTATGTTGTGATTCCGTAATTAGTGTAATCCAACAACTGTTGAAGGCCATGAATGCATCGAGTTTATATGTGTCGACTTGTCGGCTTATTATTCAATCGGATTTAGACGATCAATCTTCTTGGTGCGATTTATATCGCTTGGTTCCATATTTGAGACAGTCTTTATCATGCACTGTTTGCGAAAATCTATTGATAGACCCTCAAACCCCGTCCGATAATGCTTGTCAACATCACGTATGCAAGCAATGTAAATGGGGTCGCAAAAAGCTAAAGCCTTCTTGCAATTGGTGCTTCGATTATAACATATATATTGAGAATATCCAATTACGAATATTGTTACAATGTTATAAAAAACTTTGCGAATATTTGATGAGCACTCAAATATATAGAGAATTAGCTGCTCAAGTAGATGCTTCTTCACCTCGTAACATTACTACTTCAACATTTAGTTTGATAGAATTTATACAAGAAGGAGCCGGTTTTACTGATGATTTTAAAAGTACTTCGGGATTAACAAAGTCAGCTTACAGTATATTACCCTGTGTATATACAAATTCTTCTACCCAAACAACATCAAATGCAAATGTAAAATCGGATACCCCAGTCACAAACAATGATACAGGTATACAACCAAGCAATAATGAAAATTTATTGTATTCAGTAATGTATGCAGGTAATGGCAATAAAATTACAATCAAAAGGAAGACTACTGATATGAAAACAAATGATCAAACTCCAACAGAAAATATAACCAATAAAAAGGAATTAGTCGTAAGTAATAATATACTCATATGTATTGATATATTTTTATATAAATTTATTCACAAATGCTTCAAGGAAAAGCAAATACCAAATGTAGTCTGCAATTTCAACATATATTTTAGCATTTTAAGTAAGTTTAGCATCAGAAATAATATCACCAGATTTTTATTTTCAGACATCGTCTGGGTTTAAAAAGCCAACTTCTAGATCTAGAGTGAATAACAAACGAAAGGGATGTCGCTGTGGTAATGCAACCCCTACTCCTGGAAAGCTGACATGTTGTGGGCAGCGTTGCCCATGTTATGTGGAATCTAAACCTTGTTTGGAATGCAAATGCCGTGGATGTAGAAATCCTCACAGGCCAAATGGCTTTAAAGTAAATGTCTTAAATACACATTCAAATAGATATTTTTTCATTTAATTTACAAAGTCCACTACAGGATTTTATTTTAGACTAATTAATATATTATATTCTTCAGGTTCGCCCTCATATTCCTCAACTACACAACATACAAAGGTTACAAAAAATAGACTTACCTGTGAATTCAGTAAAACAAGAAAAAGTGGACAGTTCACCTCCAAGTCTGCATTTAAATTCTGATGAAATAACATTAGATGATTCATTATTATTCAATGCCATGGATATAGACTCTTCTAATATACAAGGTACATAATGCATAATTGTACCTCTAAAACCTCGACAAAAACTATCAGTGTTAAAATCCATGGTAGTGCATTATATATAAATATTTTATTGTTTGAAATTGGCTTGAATGCATAAAGGTGGTTCATATGAAATTTGAAATTAAGTTTTTGTATATGTGTTATTTGGGATAAGGGATGGAAGTACCTACATATTTTAAAACAGAATTTTTTCATTGATTTAATTTTTTGGTGCAGTTTTGCATATCATTTAACTTCAAGAGTCATATAATCCTTTTGGGGTCTAGGAGTTACTTTGTTAGTAATGAACAAATTGTTGATTTGTTTAGGATGATTACCATTTTACTCCAGTGAACTAACACCATTCTTAGACTTGAATTGCTGGTTTCCAAATGAGAAGGTATTTAATTGTTCTCATATCCATCAATCCTTTGTTTGCCAAAGATATATACAATAGTGTGATTTATTAATTTAGGTCTGGCATTACAACAAGCCAAGTTAACTATGTTGGATAATTTGTTTTAAATTTTTTAAATAATAGAATAACAGTTTGGGTTTTGAAAGGGTTTTAAGTCATGTATAGTGATTTGACTGATGTTAAGGGTTATATTTTTGTTTAGTTGTTGGTGTTTATACAACTCATTTACAAGACGTAGGATCTAATCTACCCACATCAATATTAATGGAAGAAGATTCGCCGAATTCAATTTTTGAGGATGATAACATCACATCACAAGGAAGTTCAAATGACGCAAGTGATATTGAAGTCATATAGAAGTAAAAAAAAAGAATCACACATTAATTTAGTTTCAGAAATCATGCAAGCATCTCTACTGGATTAATTTGCTTGTATGATTTCTATGTTTTAAAAAAAATCTGTCTAAAATTGATAATATGATGTGTTTGTGACCTTACTCTTTTCTTACGCCATATTAGAGCAGGTCAGTCACACCAAATCATAAACAATGATCTGAAACTGCAGTGAGAAATTTTACAATTTAACAGATCAGTCAATTTAAGGCAAGCGAAGTGTTGCTGTACAACACTGGGTTTATGCAATTTTAAATTTGGTTCCATAAATGATAAAATTGAGTTGTTTATAATTTAGCTTTACTTAACATTAGTAGTTATTTATGTAAATATGAGAAAACTAGTTACTTTAAATGACTTTATTGACGTTTTTATCACTAATGTAAGGGACCAATACAATGATTTTGTTTTAAAATAATTTTAAAGATGAATTTTAAAACGCTGTATGCATTTTTTAGTTATGTACATATAAATGTGAATGAATGTATTCAATAATTGTATATTAGTGTATTTTAAGTTATGTTCATTCATTTATGTTTTATTTTATATATTGATTGAAAAAATTGATTTACTGTCACCAACAAATACAATGTAACATTAAAACTTAATAAGACCATTGTAAAATTAAAACAATCAATAATATTTTAAATTAAGATGCAATACAGAAATTGATTGTTTGCTGACCCACCGTAGTTATGTCACCACAAATTCATGTCGTATTATTGCATGTTTAATATTTATATTGAACGTTATTAACTTGTCCCTTTTAAAATCATGGAGAATGTGGAAATATTTTATTTCAAAATGACTAAAGGCCATTCAAGTATTAGGTAAGTAATGAATATGGAAGTTTTATTCTATGATATTTATTATTTTAAATATATTTTATTATTTTGAAACTCTAACACTTAGAAGAGCCCTATAAACTATTAAGAAGTCTATTTTATTTTAGATGTATCAAGTGTCAAGAATTTTAACAATATATGAAAAATTTTAATGTTATATTTTATGTCGATTTTGTTTTAATCATATTTTTAACCTTTTCGGTCGAATTAAATTTGGAGATGGGTATCGTAGTACTCAGAATAATTTTGCGTTGGTAGAGCAGAACACAAAGTTTAGGACGTTTAAACAAGATATAATAATTGTTTGTGAACTTTAAATATTTTTTTATTTAATACATTTCATTATCTGGTGTTGTTTTTGTATAAAAGTTATATTATTACTGTATGCTGTATGAATACATACATTAGATAATTCGTATAGTAACTTGCCATGATGGAGCAGGCGGACATACGACCGGAACGGTAAAAAAAGCTTTGGTGGCTGAGAGTGGACAAACGACCAAAAAGGGTTAAAATATGAAACAGACGATGTATAAAAACTGTTCAGTGCAATATATCGAGATTTCATTTACAACTTCTATTGTAATTTGACAAAAGAAATGTACTAAATATTTTCAATCATCTGATATACATATTGAGCTTATATAAAGACTAATATGCATTCATTTACAGCACAAAATTGCATTTTTAAAAAGTATTGAAAAATTAAACATAGCATATTTATTCTTTATCATAATTCAAATTTATTTTATTTAGAGAAAATAAAAATTACTATTATTATACAAAAAATTTTCAATAGAAAAAAATGCAATTTTCACTATAACATTAAATTTATAAAATTATTTATATTTTTGCATACTTTGTCATCTGTATAAAATGTGTGTCATAATAAAAGAAGTTGTTTTTTAACAGCTCTTATTGCATAATGCATGACAATCTTCTTCAATAGTGGCAACAGTAAATTTGTCCTAAACCACTGATCGCACATCCCGACACGGACTAATGATATAGAACTTCTTGTTGAAGAATATAACACAGTTTTAGTAATTATTTCATTTTTATTCATGCAATTAGAGGTAGATAATACTATTTTTACAGTTCTTTTATAAAACTTATGAAAATTATAGGTTAAGTTTATACACATAAAATATTACATTTAAAATGGTTTATACGCGTGGGGATATTTATTGGCACATGATCTCAGAACATGCCGAGATGCATAATGCCATTTCAGTTCACTTTGTACTTCAGCTATCTTTTCATCAATTTCTTTAACTGGCTTTTCTTCTGATAATTTACCTAACAGTTTAAGCATTCGACCATAATGTTTGTGCATTGAAGCATACCACAAAGAGAAATAAATTATCTGAAAAATTCACACATTATATATTGAAAAAATTGAAACAAATGATCTACTCACTTTAGTATCCGTGGGATCTGTAAATTTCAATATATCATCCCATACAGCGGTGATCTGCTCACGAACACCTTCTTTATTATCTCCATCGCCTTCAAAATCTTGCTGGTACATGTAAAGTCTACATAAAGCTATTCCCCTCTTGCACAAAGCTTCCAGTAAAATTGCTTTATTTTTATCCATTATTCTAAAAAAATATCGTTTTCTATATAGCATTTCAACAAGTCGTTTTCTCACTTGCTTACATAAAATAAATCAATCAATCTGTAAATTTACACATACCCCTTAACCTTAGTGGCGTCAGCCCTTGTATCTGTTTTCATTCCATAATATGTTAGAAGTTTATCTTGGTCCAAACCTTTCAAAATTACTGATGTTACTTCTAAAATATTTTTGGCAAGGGAACAAATTTCACCCTTATTGTCTGTATCATTTGCATGTAGCACTGGTAATAATTTTTTAGGTTCATTTGGTTCTAAACATTGCAACATGGCTGTGTGAATTTGTAGGTGATCCGGGTACACAGAGCAGAGGTCTGCATACAACTTGTTGGCATCATCTCCAGCTTCTAGTGAGATGATAACAGCACTTAGGGAATAAACTAGATGTAAGTGGCATTTTGCCTTATGTCAAGATGCATCAACTTCCCGAAATGTGTAATAATGGACTTAATCAGCTATTTACATGAAAATTTGAACTGTTTATTTTGAAAATAAGTTTTACAAAAACTAAACATTGCGATTTTCAATTGTTATCTCTCAAACACATAAGATTTAAGTGTGTGTAGTATGACCATGATTCTATAAACAAAAAAAATTATGAAAATCAAATTTTTTTTTCAACAGTTGATGGTGAAGAAACGGCCTGGTCGATCATTACCAAAAACTAAAACTACTTTCAAAAGTTTTTGAATTTGTATATAAAATTTAAAATGAAAAAAAAAAAAATTAAAGAATTGCTAGCTAAAACATCAATGAAAACATTTACTCTTTTCTGCTTGTTACAAAGAAACGGCTCAGCGAATTATTATGCAAAAGTAATGAGTGCAAGTCCTTATTGAGAATGGCTTTTGTATGTTTGAATTCAGTTTAGCTGTTCATGAGGAAACGTGAATGAAAAAATTAAAAAAAAACGGCTCTTATACACACACAAATAATAAATAAATTTTTCCAATTTGGTCTCATTCAATTCAGGATGACTTAGTTAAATTTGTGTTTTACCTAATTTTCCTAACCATAAGGTCTTAGTATCACGTACAGCGTCACAATATTCTTCCCACTTGGTTTTATCTTTATCTTGCTTCGAACCATTCTTCTTAGGTGCCTCTGGTAAAATATATTTAAAGCTATATATATCAACCTTCTTTCCTAAATCATCTTTGGTGAAAGTAGCGGTTCCGAGCATATATTGTCCAACAGGCAAATTTTTGGTCACTCTAAAATTAATATAAAAAATCAAATGTGTAAAACCATATATATATATATATATATATATATATATATATATATAATATATATAACATGACCATAAAAATACTCAAAATATATTTACTTCTCATGGCTCGGTGGAGCAACATAAAGTACTTTTGTGCAGTTACGTTCCATTTGAATTGATACTAATTTTTTTCCTGCAGTGATAGCTTGAGTTTGATTGGGATACACATCCAATGCAATTGGAGTAGCTAGTTTATGATGCAATAAAATGGGAGCATCAATTAATTTATCCAAAAGATCTTTCTTATCATGACGAACACTTAATCGTAAAACATAATCTCCCTTATCCAGTTTTACATTATACTGCAAGCATAAAAATTAAATGTATATTTCCTCAAGCGCTTTTCACATGCAGACTTGTAAAATTGCTAAGTAAAAAACATGAAACACTGCCTGATAATCTTTTATGTAATAATATATAAACTAGTTGAAAGTGGCATTTAGCCTTAAGGAAATGTGTAAAACTTAATCAATCGAAATTGAAATTTAGATATTTAGATAAAATATTCAACTGTTTATTTCAAAAATAAAGTTGTTGCTTTCAATTAAATTTAGATATTGCGATTTCGAATAGAATTTTCTCAAACATCTTTAAATTAACTATAATTATATTAATTATATTGCACAGACACGTGCTTGTACGCTCTAAAACTGTAGCTTATTTTAAATTTTAGTGAATTGATAATGTTTGACTCATCACATCACAAAAGACAAATTTTGACATTAAACTATTTGCCATAAGGCCGTAACGTTTTAGTATCATTTATAAGATATCTATTGCGAAAAGAAGATTCATAAAAATAAACAAAAATTTTTTTTTCAACAGTTAATTTCAAGAAAACGGCCCGGTAGATTTTCACCTAAAACTAATCAGTAAATGATACTGATTAGTTTTAGGTGAAAATCTACCGGGCCGTTTTCGTGAAATTAACTGTTGAAAAAAAAATTTTTGTTTATTTTTAACTAATAACCCAACTAATAACTTTCGAACAGTTTTTAATTTTTTAAGATCCATCCAGAATTGAATTCACAAAGAAACGAATCAGCCAATTGTCGCACAAAACTGAGAAAAGATAATCCACTTAAAAACATATCAATTGGCTTTTAAATTTTTGAAATCGGATCAGACGTTCTAATTTTCACAAACGGCAAAAAAACGATACTAATTTTTGCAAACTTTGACGAATTTTCAAAATTAAATGACTTGTCGCAGAGCCGTAATATTTTGGTATGATCTACAAGACTATGGTATCTACCGTCAAAAACAAAAATTCATAAAAATCGTCGAAAGTTTTTTTTTTTAATACTTCATTACAAGAAAATGGCCCGGCCGATTTTTACCAAAAACTAATCAGCACGATTTCCAACCAATATCTTTCAAACGGTTTTTGAATTTTCAAAATCGATTCAGTATTGCGGGCTAAAATGTGGACAAAAAATTTCTTAATTTTCTGTTATTTACAAAGAAACGGCTTGGCTGATCATGCAAAATTGATAAACGCTAGTACTCATTGAGATACATCAAATGGCTTTTAAATTTTTTAAATCGGTCGAGGCGTTTTTGAGAAAACATCGATTTACAACAAAAAATCTGTTCACACACACACACACACTTTCCCAAATTTAGTCTCATTCGATTCAGAATGGCTTGAAACGTCAAGAAAACAAAATTAGCAAAACTGATTTTTTGATGAAAACATAAACTTCTCCTTCACGAAGTTAATATTGGAGAAAAACCTTATATTGTTTTAATTTAAAAGCAACAATAATTATAACACACAACCAGTATATCTTGCAACAGTTCAACTACTATACTGTAAAAATATAATAATTAGTTTATACCTTAGATGGATATGCATCCCCTGTTGCCATTAATTGCTTGTTGCAGTCAAACAACATCCACATTTGTGACTCAAATTCAGATTCATAAAGCTGATCACATAACAAAGGAAAATTAGGAGAGACATCCAAATTTTTATATATGTGGAAATTGTAAGTTAAAATTAATTCAAATATTTGTCGACCTCGAGGTATAACAAGTCTATTGCTCAGTGGCAGCACTTTACAATCGGCATTAGGCCTATAAAACATTTGTGATAAATAAATTTCAATAAAAGTCCATAATAAAATGTTATTTAGTATAGTTATGTAAAATGATATTAAAAATAAATGTAATTTGAATAAATTTGATAAAAGTAATTATAACACACCTTATTACTTGTACTGCAGTTTTTAGTGAAATAGATGGAACCATGTCTTCTGCAAGCAAGGATCTTACTTCTATTGGGAATAAACCATCAGCACCATGCATTGTAAAATTTGACCCATTAGGTGAAATACCATGAAATTCTAGAGAGTAATTCATTGGTAGATCATCGGAATGCGTCCAATATTTTGAAATTACGAGTTCCAAAATCAACCCTGCCTATGAAAAACCCATATAATACATATGTGAAATAAATACATTAAAAAATATTGTAAAAAAATATAATTGTGTATTACCTTGCATGGAAATGATAAAATATATTCTCCATTTGGATTCACATGGAACATTTTTTGAAATTCTAATGTTTTGCAACTTTGTTGGGGACGTATTTGCATACAATGAACTACAAATCTCCCCTTTATGTCAGATATTGATTGCATTTTCAGTACTGTTAACAATTATAAATATGATAAAATAGAATATAACTATAACTTTTATTAAAAGCAAAAATTTACTACTATTAAAGGCACTTACTTGCATATGTTGCTAGTTCAGGAACTAAAACAAAATGCCTTTTTAATGAATTTGAGGGAAAGAATTGATCCTTCCATGCAAGTTGATAATTAACTTCTTTTTCGGGAAACACATGTGGCTGTACTAATGTTATATTAATGTGGAAAATGTGACCCTTTTCAATACAAGCCGTATCATAAGCTTTGATTGTAGAATTATAAACACCTGGTTGCAACTTAGAGCCATCTATGCGCACAGTAAATGCCCTAGATAAATTACACAAATCTAAGTATGATGCACACGACACCCATGTCGCATCTGATATTAATGTGAGCCGCATGCCAAAGTTTATTTTCCTATTAGCATCTTGAACAAAAAATATTGTTAAGTTACATGAAAAAATGTTATTTTCTACTAAATAGCATAAAAACATTAATATTTCATACCTATGTTTTTTTCATCTTTAAAGAAAGGCTCAACAGTAACAAGCACATCTTTAAAAGATTCTTGAGGACCCTGCCTGATGTGAATGCCTTTACCTCCATGACCGCAAGAAACATTAAATCTAACATCTCTTTCTACACATTTGTGATAATTTCGAATATGATCAAATGTTTTCTCAACCTGAAGTAAACCAAAGCCTTGAGCAAATGGATCTGCCGAGTTAATATACATTGCTGAATTTTCTAATGCTCGTTTTACACTGTATGGAGAATAGGGAATATTTTGTTGTATTACACCTGATAAAATAACACCTAAAAAAAATTAATACATTTAAGATGTAAATAATTCAATACATATTAAATAAAATATATATTTATGTAATAGTGTATATGAAGTAACCAGAATTTAGATGCGTGAATCTGGAAAACTCTGAGGGAGGGGGAGAGAGGCACCAACTAAAGTTTTCATGCAGAAAAAAAAATATTTTTTAAATATCTAGATGTTTTTTAGTAAACAATACTATTGTCTATAAAAACTAAAAACATTGAGTGAAATACATATATATGTACAATACATTTAAGACAAATAATTGTCTAGTATATATATATATATATATATGGATTTGTAAATATTTTGTAAGCTTCGAACAAAAAATCCAATAAGTAATAAAAAACAATAATGAATTTTAAAAAAACATTTTTTTATTTATTTACTGTCGACATTTCAGAACTAGGTACGTTGTATTTTCAGGACATCTGTCATTGAAACATGATTTAGATAAGATTTAAACAGATAAGATTTAAACAAACAATATATTTAAGAAAAGTAGAAAATGGTGAATTTTTTATATAAAATAAAATTGTGGAAGCAATAACATTAAATCATCAATAAATTGCAGAAATGAGTTGGATATGTTTTGTTAAACAACACCAACTGTTGCAACTTTTTCAGGGTGATTTTCATCCATGAAATTTAGATCTTAGAAAGCTGCTTATAAATTATTGTAAGACCCTTAGCTGGAATTATATCCTTTATCAACTCTTTTTGTTTAAACACAGTATATATGTTTGCATTTTATACATTTACAAAATTTTCTTTACTTTTATTTATAACTATGGGTCCTAAGAAAAGAGCCATATCTTTTAGATTTAGATTATAGTGTATATATATATATATATATATATATATATATATATATCGATAGCTTTTTCGACGTTGAAACATATTTCAAAGTAACTGGCAGCCCATTCGTCGAAATAAAAAAGGTATAAAGTATAAAAACTTTTATTTATACGTTTCGACACAAGATGCGTGTCATCATTCAGCAACTACAACATTTGAAAATTTTATTAACTAATATAAACAACAATAAAAATTAATTATAGCATAGAGAAACATTATACACACCACAGGACAAAAACACTCAACAAAAATTTATTTAAAAAAATTAAACTTAATAACATATTAGAGAAAAAAACATTTTTTAGAAAAAAATTATGTATAACTAAAAGATTTGAAAACTAATTTTACTAAAAGTTATGAAATACATTATTGTGAAGCTAGAAGCACGCCCATACCGAGCATCTAGACTCGACTGAATTATTTCAATAGGCGTGTTGATAGGAATGGGAGGGGACGCATCAAGGACAAATTCTACGAGGCAAGAGAACGCATCGAATACAGAGGTTGAGCTGGGATTGATCAAAAGGAAAAAGCAAACCAAGTAAAAGTTAAAACAAAAAAACAAAATTGTAAAAAAATAATATAAAAGAAATAAGCAAATTAATTTTTTGTTTTTTTAATAAAATCAATAACTATCTGGTAACTATCATGTAAAAGGTGGGATGAATTGCGTTTGTTAACACAAGAGGAGGAATTTAATGAAATAAAAAAGGATTCAGCAAATTTTCTAAGGTCACTATTTTTTTCGATATAAAGAATCACACATCCTGTTATTCTTTATATCGAAAAAAATAGTGACCTTAGAAAATTTGCTGAATCCTTTTTTATTTCATTAAATTCCTCCTGAATCACACATCCTGTTATTCTTTATATCGAAAAAAATAGTGACCTTAGAAAATTTGCTGAATCCTTTTTTATTTCATTAAATTCCTCCTCTTGTGTTAACAAACGCAATTCATCCCACCTTTTACATGATAGTTACCAGATAGTTATTGATTTTATTAAAAAAACAAAAAATTAATTTGCTTATTTCTTTTATATTATTTTTTTACAATTTTGTTTTTTTGTTTTAACTTTTACTTGGTTTGCTTTTTCCTTTTGATCAATCCCAGCTCAACCTCTGTATTCGATGCGTTCTCTTGCCTCGTAGAATTTGTCCTTGATGCGTCCCCTCCCATTCCTATCAACACGCCTATTGAAATAATTCAGTCGAGTCTAGATGCTCGGTATGGGCGTGCTTCTAGCTTCACAATGATGTATTTCATAACTTTTAGTAAAATTAGTTTTCAAATCTTTTAGTTATACATAATTTTTTTCTAAAAAATGTTTTTTTCTCTAATATGTTATTAAGTTTAATTTTTTAAAATAAATTTTTGTTGAGTGTTTTTGTCCTGTGATGTGTATAATGTTTCTCTATGCTATAATTAATTTTTATTGTTGTTCATATTAGTTAATAATATTTTCAAATGTTGTAGTTGCTGAATGATGACACGCATCTTGTGTCGAAACGTATAAATAAAAGTTTTTATACTTTATACCTTTTTTATTTCGACGAATGGGCTGCCAGTTACTTTGAAATATATATATATATATATATATATATATATATATATATATATATATATATGACTCTTGTACATTCTTGCCACCCTCATATTTTTCAATGATTTTACACTATAATCTAAAAGATATGGCTCTTTTCTTAGAACTCATAGTTATAAATAAAAGTAAAGAAAATTTTGTAAATGTATAAAATGCAAACTAAACATAAATAATAGTATAATCATCACTGTATAGTTAAATAAACTTATAGATTTGTTTAAAAAATGGGCTTTGATTTGCAAAATATATGAAATTAGTTAATATTTCTGTGATATTTAATTAATCAAACATAAAAATAGGTTTAAAAAAAATATAAAACAAATGATAAGCTGACGGGATTCAAACTATGAATCCGAATTCAAGAAAGTAAGAGCAAGTGCTTCAGGAATATTGATAGGGAACACTATACGCGTACCTATTGCACAGGTTCTATTCTTTGCACCTTTAATTAATAATTTTTATAATTAAACCACTTCTCATAGACCTATATTATTTCAAGGTGTTTGATTTGACTATCGACTCCAGCATCATGCAAAGTTTCATCAAAATCCCAGAGAAGTAAATCTAAGGTTCTCCTTGTAATAAGTAATTTTACTAACAAATTAATACTGTTTTTACAGAAAGACTTATTCAACTAGTCCTGTAATATTTATGAATTGTTTTTTTTTTATTACCTAGAGATCCACTAACATGAGGTGCAGCCATACTAGTACCATTCATCAACTGTGCTTGAGAAAGTGTAAAAGCAGGAACTGAAGTTATAGCTCCCCCCGGTGCACAAACTGTAACTCCAATATCACCATCTATAGTTGGCCCCCTAGAAGTCCAAGTGTATGGCATTCCTGGTAATTTATCTCTTAAAGCATATTCTGCAACCATCATTTCAGGGGTGACATATGCTCCCACACCTACAAGATTCAAAAATAAATATTCTCTCAAGGTATATATTTATATAATGATATTTTAAAAAAAATCCAATGTTGAAAACATAATACATTAATAAACATACTAATAAGTGAAGGTTGGCTTATGTCCGGCGGAGTCCCTATAGTGCAAAGTGCAGGCCCATGATTTCCAGCAGAGGCAACCCATATAACACCATACTTATTAACAACCTCATTCATCAGTTCACCTATACGCCTGAATACAAAATAAATTAATGACCACATATTTTCCAAATAAACATTGTGTGACCTGAGAGGCAGTAGCAATCTGAAATCCACAAGCTTGTCTTCAGCACTGTGATATTGATGTGGAATTTATGTGGATTTTAGATTGCTGCCACTGCTCGATGTTTACTGGGTTATTACATTATTATGATATAAATCTAAATAATTAATATTTAACAATAAATAGTTTAACCATGTTAAATATTACCATAAACTTGAACTATAGCTCATACAATTATACAACTGTTGAACTGTTAATAACTCACCCAGAATTTGAAAAATGCGCGTGTTCCCCATAACTCATATTAATAATATGAACACCTTGTTCCTTCTGACAGAGTTCCATTACTTTTATGATGGCACGAACTATAGAATGACCAGTTTCCATAGAACCCAAACGAGCATCACCAATGGTTAACGAAATAATTTGTGCACCTGGAGCAACACCACATCTTTCAGGATCATCAGGAAAATACGCAGCAGCAATAGAGGACACATGAGTGCCATGACTGGCTGTTAACAACATATATGAGAATATAATTAGTTATCAGAAAACAAATGACAAAAAAGCTGTTCATCAATAGATAATTCTTATAGAAAAAAATTAAAACATCTAGGTTTCATAAATTGAAAAATAAAAAATTATTAATGATAATATCATTTCTATCAGAAATTAGTACTTACAGCACATGCCCACAATTTCTAAAGTATTTCCATCATCGTGAACATTGATACTAACACTAACTTGATCAACTTTAGTCAGCGGTTTAAATTCTCTGGTTATGGAATATTCACTAAGAATGACACCAGATCCTAAGTCACCTTGTTCAGATGTATCAATGCATGCTCTATTTGATTAATTCAATAAAAAAAAAATTTATGTTTAGTAATTTTAACAATATGGTTTATAATAAATGCAAAATTACTCAGATAATTAATTTACAAATATTGAAAACAAAACTTACATCCATTTATCACCATCATGATAAAGTACACAATCATAAACACAGCCAAGATCTGAATATTTCTTTTCCATTCCATTAAGCAATTCCAAACGTGTCTCCAAATCTTCTTTGTAAAGCTTTTCAATAGGTGCCAAAGTTGCCGATTGCCCTAGAAGTAAAATGCTCTTATGAAAAAAATGAATAAATGCAAGAATATATTAATATATAACAAAATTGAAATAATTAAAATTGAAATCACTAAAACAATATGTCATTCCAAATTAATAGATAAAGTCAATAGTATAAATTAATAGATAAATTATTCAAAATTACCTGTTTTGGATTCATATTCTTGAAGATCTCTAATAGCATTAGCAAAAGCCTTTTTATGATGTGGATCCCAAAGCCTTTCTTTATAATCGGCTTCTACTCGTTCTTTAACTTTCACAGGATATAAATCTGAAGCAGCTTTAACACCAATATGATAAGAACCTGTAGGATTTTTCCATGAAGTTGGAATCTAATAAAAAATATATATGATATTATGAACAAATAGAAAAATCACAAAAAACTGATTTCAAATTAAACTGGTTGCTTGGAGCATCGTGTTACCCGACAAGTTTTCTGTAAACCATTAATAGATCAATCATTCAACTAATTAAATTTCACAATTTATAAAAAAATTATAAAAAAAAAATTGAAGGAAAAGAAACTAGTTGAAAGTGGCCTCAAGGCAAGTTGCATAAACTTCACTAGGTGTATTTTAATTTACTTAAAATCAATCAAAATTGATATTTAGAAATTTAGATGAAATTTTCACAATTACGTAAATCATGTTCTAGATATTATTTAATGATTTAAATCAATTTTTCTCAAAGTTATTTCTTCTAACGCCCCCTTTGAAGATCAAATTGTTTGTAGCGCTGCTCCCCTCTCAAATTTTGTATATTTATATAATCTCTAAAAAAACATTTTTTCAATTTTAGTATTTATAATTTTTAGTTTTTTTAGCGTGGTATATTAGTCGATGTAACCTTACATTCTAAATTAGACAATTTTACCAGTGAGAGCAAAAAAACGCTACTCAAAACAGTGTATGCATGTATTAAAATTTATTTAGAGGCCTCTTATCGCTTCCCTGGATAGTACAATCACCCACCGGATAGCGATATCGCCCACTTTGAGAAATAAATGAATGGTAACATTTTTTTACAAAACTAGGGAAGTTTTGTTGGCTGTTCATTTATTTTTTTCTAATTCCAAAACCATTTCTAATTGATTTCATTGACTATCACATCACAAAAGCAATCTCTTGACACTTTGACTATCATATTTTTTCATTTGTGAATTTTTAAAACTAAACTACTAGTCGTAGGGCTGTAATATTTCAGTATGTTCAATGAGACCCAAAAGTTTCATAAAAAAAAAAAAATATCAATAGTTAATTACAAGAAAACGGCTCGATAAATGTTTACCTAAAACTAAACGATATCATTCTAAACCAAGATCTTTCAAACAGTTTTCGATTTTTTAACCCTTTGAGGACGCGCGCCGCATATATGCGTTTTATACAATGCCAGTATCATCAAACAGAAAAATCATATATGCGTTTGGCGAAGTCAGTTATTAGAGCCGAGTAACGCATATAAGTATCCCACCTGAATACATGTCGATGGCCGAGGAACTCGATGTTAATAAACCAAACTGAATTGATTATAAACCAACATTTTATTTGTCCTGTGGAAAATCTACATTCATAAGTCCATATATTCAAGTTGGAGTGCTAGAATTTGAGGTAGAGTGCCAAAAATATGCGTTGGCAATTTTAAATGACTATGACGACTCGGCACCACGGTATGGTTCACTTGGAACCGTCCCGTCCCCAAAGAGTTGAAACCAATTCAGAATTGTGAGCTAAAACGTAGACAAAGACTTCTACACTTTTGTGCCAGCGAATTTTAACCAAAAACTAATCAGGTTGATTCCCAACCAATAACCAATATCTTTCGAACGGTTTTTGAATTTTTAAAATCGATTCAGAATTGCGGGCTAAAACGTGAACGAATATTTTTTCATTTTTCTGCGATTTTCTAAGAGACGGCTCGGCCGGTCGTCGCACAAAACTGACAAACGATAGTCTTCATTGAGATACATCGAACGGCTTTTATATTTTTGAAATCGGTCCAGCCGTATTTGAAAAAAACTTCGATTTAAGGTAAAAAATCTGTTCACATAACACACACACACACTTTCCAAATTTGGTCTCATTCGATTCAATATTCGAAAAAGTTCGGGAAGTTAATAAATTAAGGTAAGCGTACATTATTCCGTAAAATTTTGATTTTCGTCTCAAAATAAGAAAACGCGTCGGTAAATAATAATTTTATAAAATACCATTTGAGTATAGTCGGTATATAATAACACGATTTTCGAATTTAAATATTTTTTAAAGCCGTATCGAGCTTTTATGGGTGCGTAACCCGTCTCTAGTTCCGTACGGGATGTTTGTTGGTTAGCTTAAAAAAAACTTGATTGATGATTTTGATGCTGATAAGATTAATCAATCTATAAAATTAATGATCAGTATTAAAATAATATGCAATACGTTATATAGCTAAAAATTAAACATATTTTTAGAGAAATAGTCAATTTCATGAATGCCGTAATTATGTTCACACAACTGAGATTAATAATGTGCGTAATTGCGTCATAGACCTTATAATACAATATGTATTATCAGGTCCATGAATTGCGTGCATATCACGGAATAACAAAAAGTTGAATCAAAATATTTTTGTTTTTTGTTTTTAACTATCGTTAAATTCAGCGTTGCTTTTTTGATTTTTTAACCCTTATAATTAAGTTTGAGATAGAGCCGATTTTTGACCTTCGTCAGCGATTTCTCGAAAACGGCTGGACCGATTTAAAAAATTTAAAATCCATTCGATATATGTCGATGAGGACTAGCATTTATCAGTTTTGCGAGATGATCGGCCGAACCGTTTCTTTGTAATTATCAGAGAAGTGTAAAGTTTATCATCCACTGTTTAGCTCACAATCTTGAATCGAAAATCAATATTGGTTGGGAATTGTGTTGATTAGTTTTTGGTAAAGATCGGCCGGATCGTTCTCTACTGAAAAAAAAATTCGACAATTTTTATGATAAATATCATAGTCTTATAAACGTATTAAAATATTACGGCTCTACGGAAAGTCGTTCAATTTCAAAAAATCATGAAAAAAGTGAGTATCGTTTTTTTGGCGTTTGTTAAAATTGGAGCTACGTTTTATCAAAAATGGCTGAACTTATTTCAAAAATTTAAAAGCCATTCAATGAAACTTGATAGGTACTCACACTGGTTAATTTTTTAAAACGATCGGCTAAGCCGTTTCTTTACAATTAGCAGAAAAGTCCACATTTTAGCCAAAATTTCTGAATCGATTTTGGAAAATCCAAAAACTATTCGAAACATATCATTTGGGAATCGTGTTTACTTTTTGACGAAGATGGGCCGGACCGTTTTTTTTTTCGTAATTATTAGTTAAAAAAAAAAGTTTGACAATTTTAATTAAACTTTGTCTGACGATAGAGTACCTGGTTTTAATGTACCCCCACTAAAATATTATAGTCCTAGGAAAAGTGAATCAATGTTAAAAATTAATTAAAATTTGGATTATTCGGCCATGCTTTTAGAACATATTCCATAGCGCGTGTTCGTTTTTCAATACTGTGTAATAAAAAAAAAAGAATAATCTGCAATAGTTTCTCGCATTATAAAGCTCTACACCAACTCGGCATACACATAAATTAATACATTGATTTCTTATTAATTAAGTCAATCATCATTCTCTTCAACTTTTAAGATAATAATGGCTCACAAAAACCTTGAAAAGGCTTCATGACTGAATTTTATTTGTCGATTGATAGATTTCAATACTATAATTATATAAAGAATCAATTTTGTAAACCTATATAGTACCTTGTTCATTGTTTTATATCATTTATTTGATTTATTTTTGGATAATGAACTTTTACATGTAGTATTGATAATAACTATTACTAATGATAGCAACTTATATATATAGCTAGCATATATATAGATAGCAAAATTTTCATAAAAATAAATAAAATAAGCACTCAAAATTATATACAAATGCTTATATTCAATAACCATATTTATTTGTAATTTATTCTTGTTGTAATTTTTGTTATTTACACTATTATGGAATAATGTACAATGACGTACGAAATTATGTCATAAGCTAAATTTTATCAAAAAATTAGGGAAAAACTCGTGGTTCAGCAAAACACTAATTATTACTAACAATGACGTTCTACAATGCAAAAGTTTGTTTTATAATAATCATATGAGCCTAATATATATAATAGAACAGTTTTAGTCCATTCACTTTTCTACTTTTTCTAAAAATCAGCTTTGAAGTCAATCATTCCTTAATATACCGGAATATTTTACACTTTCCTCAAGTAACAAATATCCAACTAAAGAAACATTAAATTTAGCATAAATAAATAAAAAGAAAAAATATGCACATTGATAAAATTTATGATTTAGATTTCATATGTTAAAATTCTCACAGCTGATCATCAGTATTCTCTTTGTACTTTTTCTTCATAATTCAAATAGAGAAAAATATTTAACAAAATGAACTGACAATAGATGCATCAATATTTGGAGGAGTAAAGAATTAACTTACAAATCATTGTTTTACAATGAGAAGCAAATATAATCAAAGTACACTTAGTATTTAAAATAAATTTGTTTTGTTTTCTTCTTTACCTTTAACTTACGACCAGTCAGTCCAGTAATAATTCCATCTTTAGCTTCTACAACTGTTGATGTGTCAACATCACCAGCGCCACTACAATCAAATCGACCTATAACTTTTGGCTTTCCGTCACTTGTAACCTAATTATAAATGAATGTTTATGTATCATTCTAATCTAATTTTTAAATATATATATTTATATATCTTATACATGATTTATAACTGATAGCTAATACAAATTCAAAATATTTTCGAAGTTCCATACTTGCAATCCTGCCGCTCCTGGATCAACACCAGAATCAAATATCGCAATAATGCATCCTCTACCATCAAATTCGGGGTACTTGCTTAAAAAATTTGTAACTCCTGTTTCTTTTTTCGGCAAAAGACCGGCGACAGGAAAGTCTCCTTCTATAACGGTAGCCATATTTAAGCATACACTAAATGACAAAAACAATTTTTCAATGTCATTCTACATCCATATCTCTTCTTCTAGAGGAGAAACTACAATGCAGACAGAAATCAGAACTACCAACAATTAAATAAAAGATAATTGTCACAAGAAATTTCCATGAGATTCAAGCGTAAACGAAACTGAACGAAACTCCAAACTTTACCTATCTATGCTCCGAACTCTTCTACAAAAATGAATTTATTTAAGACCCATTATTTATCACCCATTTAGATTTAAATAATAAAAAATATTTTTTGAAATGTAATTCATTATAATATAATTTATTTTTATTATTACATATTTGAATATAATTTATTGTATAGCTGAGTACACAAGTATATGCGCTATTATTATTATTATTATTATTATTAATAATATTATTATTATTAGTATTATGCTTATTTATCTATTAAAAAATTATTTATCTATGTACGTGCGTACCCACCAATCTATGGAACCCACTAATAGCAAAAAGTCTATTTTATTCTTAAAAAAGAAATTATTGCATAGATAAAAAAAGAGTATATTAATATACTTCAGTTGTAACAAATATTGTAATTAAGAAAAATGGTTATTATACTTATTTATCTAAGAGTATATGCACTCAAATATTTATACTTATTTATCTATGAGTATATCTTTCTCAAAAACTTTCTGTATGATAGTGTGCTTGATTATGTTAACTGTAACTATTTTTTTTATAAATTGATTATTTAGTTAAATCAAATAATTTGGTTAAAATTTGTATTTTTATTAAATAATTCTTAGAAATGAATTTTCAACTTGCTAGTAAAGCTCAAAAACCGATAGAAGCGCCATCAACGAGAACTATATGAAGTTGATCAAATGATGTCATATTTATAAGCTCGTCTATGGTATTATTAAATTTCGCGAAGTTTTCTAAGCACTTCTAATTTTTGTGAAGTGTCAAACTCACGTATTGTTTTACTGCTTCTCTTTAACTAAAAAGATGTGGTTCGAGATTTTGCCAAGTTTTGGTATCATTGTAGGAGCGTTAGCTTTACCATCATTCGCTTCATACCACATGCACAAACTAGTAAATGGCAATGTAAGATTATATCATCAATTGACAAATGTATTGCTTTTCAGAAAATTCATGATAAATTGTTCTCAAAATTCAGTTTGTTGCTTTAGATTACTGAAGTATTTATTTACCTAGATATAATTTCTGAGATGATGTCTTTTGTTCCTGCTTTATTCGATTAAATTTTAGTCTTCTTTGTATAGACCGAAATCCATTGAACTTCGTAATTCTTGTATACCCAACATTAGTACATGATAAAGCTATAATTAAATTAAATACAAAATAAATATTAATAATAATTGTTTATTTTCAGCCATACCTGCGAGATTTAAATAACAGATATCAAAGGAGATTGTATCAAAGAGATCAAATGCTGACAAAGGATCCTTATGTCTCCAATGTAAGCACATGATAATCTTTATTGTTTAGATATTATAAATTATTTTTAATTATCCAGTTAATTTAAATTCTTGCACTTTCAGGGACTTGAAGTTATACCTGATGAGTAATTTTCAACAGAATAAAGTAGAATGAAGAAATAGGAACAAATTTGTAAATATCTTGAAGTTCAAAATAATAAATTAAGATCTTAATATTTGTGTTTTCAATATTCTTATAAAATGAATGCATATATAACATATTTATATGCGTGGCAGGATATCGCATGCAACACATGCAGGGTATATATAATACATAACATGGGTGTCTGATTGAACGCCTAAGTCTGTTTTTACACGGAGATTGGTTCCAGAAGAATCCGTGTAAAAAAAAAATGTGTAAAAAAAGACATTGACCTTATACAAAAATGGGTGATTTGTTCCTAATCTCTAAAACCTATTAAAATTGGTGAAAAACAAGAATTTTTAAGAACAAGAATTAAATTAGTGCTATTCACATTTGCTTTGACCAATAAAAATTGTTTGTATGCGCTAAAGGGGAATTCACTTAAATCTTTAAGCTAGTGTTTGCAAACTATCGATACTATCGATGGTTTCAGACTTTTTTCTTTCATAAATACTTTTTTGTGAATGAACATACTCTGCAAAAATTTAATTTGACAAAAAAAATTTAGGTACATAAAATTTCAAGTCGTGCTAAATGGAATAAATTCGTGTAAAAAATTTAAAAATATTCAATTTTCAAACCAAGTTATATCAAAACCGTGTACAAAAAGACCGTGTAAAAACAGACTTAGGTGTATACTATAATTTTATTATAATATAGAATCAATAAAATACTTACTAAATCATAATAATCTGACCTAACTATGAATATGGAGATATATGTTTGGAATGTGATATCAGTGGATATCATTATCTAGTTAATAACTGCACAATCTATTAAATTCTTTTGTTCAGTGCTTAGTTTACCTATTTTATCTTTTTTGCATTTGAAGTAAACATAGAACTGAATAGGTAATTATCTGGTGCCCAAACCCAAAGGTGTAATACTGTGAAAGACGCAAGTATTAAAAAAAGGGTTTCAAGTCACTTTATTAAAGAAATTAAATTCTTTTGAGTTGTATTGAAGTTCTATTAGAATTAATATGTGATGTACTTACATAGGTTTTTCTAAAGATTATTCAAAACTACAATATGTGTTCTGTGTAATGCAACAGTTATATTTAATTGTAGTTGCTAAAAAAAAGCTAAACAAATGAAAGCATTTAAAAATTCGTAAAACCCATCTGAATGGGGCAGTTTTGACAGAAAGCTCGAGACGTTATCTAGTTGAAACGCGTCCTGTTGAAAGAAAAAAGATGCTTATTACACTAGAAAAATGGAAAATTGGTAGTTAAAGCATGAAAACATGGCTTTGTTGCAAACTTTTTGCGTCTCAAGAACTTAGTAAACCTTTGCAATCTTCTAAAATTAGATTGTACACCCAATGCAAGTAAAACAGAACAAGTAACAATTATTGTACGATTTGTTTCTCTTGAGAATGAAGTTGTAAATGTGGCTTATGTTCGACAAGATTATTTTGGGAATTTCGATTTTTTGAATATTTAATTTAAAATTAATAATGAATATTTAAAAGTAAGTATCGTAACGATCTAGTAATTTTTATTGTAAAAATTATTTTAAAATAAGGCTACAGTATGATGAGATGTAAATGCAATTGATCAGTTTAGCCATTATGTGTGCATTCCAGGATATTTTTCAGAAGATTGATTTTATTATTAAAAATTCATTCGATATTCTTAATTATGTTGTATCCAATTATTTAAATTTATCTATGGCAATATGATTCATATCAGATGCCATTAGAATAATAAAAAAAAATCTAACTTTTTAATTGCCTTAAGAATATTATTAAATTTACGTGTCAGCGTAGCAAGCAACAAGTTAGTTTTTCTGAATTGAAATTCGAACTACGTTCGATATAACAATAAGATAGGCTAAATAGGTTGTCGTTAGCTATTACTAAGAATGATTTAATATATAATTTTAATGGCAAACTGTTACAAAAGTAAAATTATCGGGGACGCTAATACAATAAAAATTACATGCGGGCGCCATGTGCCCTATGCAGGGCCGGTCCTGGGGTCCTTAGCGCCCGCATGCAATTTTTTTCTAGCGCCCCCCTATTAATTTTTATCGTTCTAACAGTTTATCATTAAAATTATATAAATATTTACATATTTTGTAAAAAATTAATTTTTAATTATTCTGGATATAGTACACAAAAAATTAGATATAATCTAGAAGGGTTTAAAATATATTAATTTTAAATTTATTTATTATTATCGATATCAATAAATAAAACAATCCCTGTCATAATGTCACATTTCAGTAATATTCAATATAGTTTATATTCAATATACTTTATATGAGTTCGTCAACCATAGCAAAAGAATTAATATTTTTGTTAGATTAAAGTTATAGAATTTAAGAAATGCATTTCAGAAATAGTATTTATTATTTTGATATAAAATGCATTGATATAAATGCATTTCTTAAATTTTATAACTTTAAATTATCAAGAATATTAAGTGAAATAAATAAATTAATTTTCATTTATTCTGGATTTAGTGCACAAAAATTAGATATAATATAAAAGCGTATAAAATATATTGATTTTAAATTTATTTAGAAAATCGAGGCGATTCGGGGGTTGATTATAATCAAATATTTTGAAATTTTCAATTATTTTCAACGTATGTACAATTTTAATATTTAAAAAGACTAGCATTTCATTTTCAAACATAACACTAATATATCATGTTGGAATTACAATATCCAAAATTGCGTCGTAAACTTCTCCTTATTGATATCGCAAGAATGGTCATATTCAGAGTATCAGCTTGTTGTTTTAAAGTTAAATTTAAATTAAACGTATTTTAGAAGTATTGTTCAAAAATCAGTAAAAAATGCAAGAAAATTACACATTTCTTGAACAATAAAAAAAAAACTTATTATATTTGATATGTATTATTTCTGTATAGCTAATAATTATTAAATTTAGAGTATGAGCACCACTAGGTATAAAACAAGCCTTAAGATTTTTGTTTCAAAGTAAATTTTGCTTCCATTTTTCATATTTGTTCCACGCATCTCTTCAACATTCAAAGTTCAACATGTGCGAAACATTTGCAACAAAAGCAAAAGTTACAATTCAATTTCTCAGAATAAACAAGTCATTTTCTAAGCACTGACTCCCCTTTTTTTATAATTTTTTTTTAACAAGTTCCGTTTCAACTAAATCAGCTCGCAATTTTTCGTCAATAATGCCCAACATTTAATTTGATCTTTTGCAGGTTTGCGCTTATGGGATTGAATACCAGATAATTTCTTTTTCGATTCCACGGTAAACTTCAAACAAAGAAAAAATTGAATAAGTAGATTAAGCAATAAGTTAAGATAAATTATTTATTATAATTTATTGAGTACTGTAAATTTTAAATAAATGATTCTAGATTTTATATAAAACAATATAAATATTAAATTATAAATTTAATATCCGAAACTCGTTTTGGCGCCCCCTGAGGCGTGCGCCCGCATTTTTTGCATGCATTGCATGCAAGGCAGGACCGGCTCTGGCCCTATGTATAACATAATTTGAAGTACAATAATTAAAATTGCAATTTTTAAGACTTTTAATTTGCTTTTAAACTGTTTGAATAATTAACAAAGCAAAAATTGAGAATATAATGATTTTGCACGGGTCGCTCAACAAGGACTTAGCCTCACCGCCAGATGACGCTTCTATAACGAAAAAGTTTCACCATCAGGTAGCCGCAGGTTTTATCAGCCTATTGTTAAAGTTTCAGTCAATTCCCTTTCAGAGCATTCCGGCGGAGTTTTTGTGTCGTTTTGTAATTGTCAACGAAACATGAATTCACTGGTCCATAAATAGTAGACTTCTAACTGCAAATGTGCTCCGAAAAAGACGAAGGCGGCTCAATCGGCTGGAAAGGTGATGTTTACGCTCGTCTAAGATTTGCAAGGTGTGATTCACATCGATTATCTCGAGAGGCATAAAATAATCACGAGAAGATACTATGCTGATCTTTTGGGCTCATTCGACGTCAAATTGAAAAAAAAATCGGCCCCGTTTCGCGAAGAAAAGTGCTGTTTCCACAACGATTACGCGCTGGCTCACACCTTCGTTTTGGCCATGGCCAAATTGAGCAAATTGCGATACGAATTGGTGCCTCATTCACCTTACTCTCCAGGTTTGAACCTCTGTGATTACTTTTTGTTTCTAAATCTGATAAAGTCACTTGCCGGAAATAAATTTGGACCGACTGATGAGGTCATCACCGCTTTTTTGCAGCCCTCGATAAAACGTATTTTTTGAACGGGTTGAGAAAGTCCGAGCATCGTTGCGCCAAATGTATCGAGCTCGAATGAGATTATGTTAAAAAATAAATTGTCACTGTTCCAAAATTTTTGTTTTTACATCGGTAGGCTAAGTACTTACTGAACGACCCTCGTATATATCATACCATCAGCAGGTAGTCAGGTACCATATTATATATGCACTTATATGTTAATATGATATATTACGTGTTTATATATATATATATATATATATATATATATATATATACTGATGGGCATGTTTCTGGCACAAATGTATCTCACTTATTTAAATTTTGTAATTTTAACAAACAACAAACGGAGTGAAATGAGAAATGAGAACTAGAACAAATTCGTTTTAAATCAAGGGAAAAATGTTATGAACTCTTTTATTGTGTGTGAAAAATATTATTGGCTAATATTAAATTTTTAATATTAAACATAAATTACAAATTATAAAATTTGTGGGGCAATGTATGTAATTGATTGGTACACGTACCACGAATAATCGAATTCATTTCAGAAATGTAATTTTATCATTTCGTAGCTTATGAGATGCTTCAGTCTTTTCAATTTTGATTTTCCATCTGAAATTTGATAATTTTACGTTTATCGAATTAAATGATGCTATTATTATATTTGAACATGTTGAATAATTTTAGAATGTAACGTTAATGTATATTATATATATATATATATATATATATATATATATATATATATATATAAACCTCGTGTCACGATGTTGGTTCGCGATGAACGCCCAAACTACTGAACCGATTTTAAATTTTATTGGCTCAACGT